AAAATGAGAAAATTTGGATTTGTTCTAGTTCTTGTCACAGGTCTGTGCTGTGAGGCAGCATTTTGACTTATTCAGATAACTTGCAGGTTAACTCTGAGCTTTATTTACTATGAAGGTGGTTTACTTCTTACCTGTGTGCATTACCATGGTAACCTATGCTGCGCAGGTACTTCCCACTTACAATCAAATCACCAGAAAATAGTTTTGCCAGGTGAGATCAGTGTGAATAGAGAACAGGGGGATCTAAGGTCTTTGTGTTTCTGATAATAATAACAAGAATAATAAAAATTATTAGAATAATAAATAATTAGCAATGAATGATCAGCAAAGTGGAAAACAGGGATCTTTGGAGGAGTCGGACATCCCAGCGTTGCCGAAAACTGTATAGTGCAATTGTCTAAATCTGGGGTACATTTAGGTACATTTAGGGTCCTTTTTGGACCCCTGATATACTCACATATGTCGTATGTATTTTATTCCTTTCTCCTTCCTTTTTGTAACTCTTCCCATGTGTGTGTGTTTTTTTCTCTCTGTTTTTGTTTGTTTCTGTTTGTCTGTTTGTTTTTGCTGCACTGTTGTTTTCAAAAACTTAAAAATAAAAATTAACAATAAATAAATAAATAAAAGTGTCTTTGAATAGTGAGATGCACCACAGAGTCACAGAGTCTGGGAGCCTGACTACGTATTTATATGTTCAGAGCTTAACGTCCTTCATAAATAAAGTTGACTTGCTGCTGCTGTCATGGTTGTTTCTGCACACAGATTCTCTCTAAATGAAGATCAGAATATATGAAGATGATTGAACATCATGGTGCTCCTGTTTGTTGCTGTGCTGCAGTTTTTATGATGATGTCATACTTTATACTGAAGGAAAACTTTCACAGTTTCTGCTGCTCTATCTGAGCTGCATGAACAGACCTCAGGTCCCAGTTTCTCTGAAGCTTCATCAGGATAAGGTGGGACATGGTGGGTGGAGTCTAATGGCGTTTTCACACCTTCAGTCAGCAAGTCAGCTGGTTAGAGTTTGTAAACTGATTTGTTTTGTTATTTTCACACATCGGTTGTTGTGGTCACACCTGAGTGTGAATACTGTGTTCACACCTGCACAAACCAACCAAACAAACAGGAGAACAAGAGTTTGATTTAAGCAGAGTAAACACCGTAAGCCACGTCCACATGATTATTAATCTGTCAGATTCTCTGAGCTACTCTTTATAAAGTCTTCTCCACACATTTCCTTCACCTCGTGACATCATTCATGGCGGTCGGGGTAAAAAGAGGGGAGAGGGGCTTTTTGTTTACCAGACTGCACCCCTGCCTGCCTCGTAGCACAAGAGTCCTGAGACAGCTTATATGACCTGCAGAAAAGGTGATTTTTTTTTTGTTTTGTTTTTTTTAATCTATCCTTCTGAGAATAAAACAGTATCTTTCAGTTTAACCGTTT